TTTGCTTTGTATTCAGTAATACCATGCTTACAAACCCAAAGCATGTATTATCTGAAGCAAGTAATCACTTGGAACACAATAGACTCTTCCTTAAAGCTGAAAAATTCATTTCTGGTAGTAAGAGCATGGCTACAAAGTCCAGAAATATACAGGATACTTCCTCCAATTCATTACTACCTACACTTTTTTTATGCACAACCATTTTTTAGTTGATGCAAAATGGGTGTTTTCATCCTCCCTAATATGCTTATCTGACGTGCTCTCACGTGTGAAGTCTACTGAGACATGTAAACTCTGACTTCTTTTCTGTTTTCTTTACACTCCCCCTAAGGAAAGGTCTGGTATATTTTCATGATTTGATAAACAAGTGTTCATAGTAATAGATCATAGCTATGCAGAAAGCAGTCCTCTTTCTCCTCTGTAATTTGTCTCTGTAACAATAGTAATGGCAATCTGGAATATAGTGATTGTTGCTTTTCCATCCTGATGTGCTCACCCTGTTCATTTTCTATCCTGTTGCCTATAGGGAGGAGAGGAATTCCAATCAATTTTCCCATTTAAACTGATGCTATCACCAAAAGCAACCATTTGGTAGATGTAAGAGACACTGAGGATTCCTTTATAAAACACTTACAACGAAACACTGGACATGACCCTGGCAAAAAATTGTATAGATCCAAGTGATTTCTAAGACTACAAAGTAATAAAAAAAGTCTTGAAACAGTCTTCCTGTTTCTGGGGGATAACAGGAAAGGGAGGCCGTTTCAGGAAAGGGATATGTGCTTTCTTTTTCAGCTGTAAAAGTAGCCATTTCATATGAACTTGTTTTGCTCTCACCTTCACATTAAGTTACATTTAATTTATCTCTCAGGAAACTGCTTATAAAATTAAAAGCACCTCCTTTGCCAGTCATAATGTGAGCTTATTTACCTTCAACGGGGAAATCACAGAGCGGTTTGGGTTGGAAGGGACCTTTGAGGTCACACAGTCCAACCCCTGCCATGGGCAGGGACATCCTCAACTTTACCGGGTTGCTCAGGGCCCCGTCCAACTTGGCCTTGGATATTTCCAGGGACAGGGCAGTGACTGCCTCTCTGGGCAACCTGCATCAGTGTTTCACCACCCTCAGTGTAAAGAATTTAATTGCTGAAATCAGAAAGGACATTTCAAATTTTAATACCAGAAGATACTATTACACATCTACGCTGATATACTGTGTAATGCAGGGCAGATCATTTTATTAGTGGGTGAAATACTTTTTTCCTGTGGATGTCAGTGGGCAGAGCTGAGAATCCAAGTGTGTATATAAAGTTTAATCGTAACTGCAAAGAAATTTGCCTTGCTATCCAAGTCAACACAGAATTTTGGCAGTGATAAAATACATTTCTTAGGAAAACAATAGGATTGGTCATCTCTCCTTCCTTGGACTTTCCAAATCCCACTTGACAGAACTGCAAATTTGGAGGGTTTTTCAATTTTCTGTTAGAAATTTGGATTCTGTAAAATAGTATTTATACTATTAAATGGCTACGCGCTGTGCACTATAAAGTCTGTTACACTGTATATGCCATTCATTCACAAAAAACCATGCTTGCTGCCTTTGAGCTGAAGTGTTCCTTCTATGCCTCTACTATTGTTTTTCAGAATATTTTATTGTTAACATCATACATACTCTGCACATTTTTAAACTTACAACCAAATGCAATTGCTGTTGAAGTAAACAAACTTTTTTTACATTAAAGTATTTAATTAGTGAAACAATCATTATCAATGTAACAAACTGAAAAATACAGCAATTTGATACAAGACTGAGGTAACAAAATACTTGGCCAAAAACCTAGATTCCAACACCAGGGTTATTATGGGTGAGACAGTTCACAAGAATTATAGAAAGAATCCTTACACAAAAGGCATGCAGTGGACTGCTGGAAAATACAGCCATAAATAGTGCAACAGTTTTCACACAAAACAAACCAAAATGTTGAAACTGGTGTACATTATAATGTGACAAATAAGTCGCAATTTGAAAACTACTTTTTTTGCCTCATTTTAGTGCTATTTGGAAAAACATGCATTTTGGCACTGAATTACATCAAAACTGCACATTAATAAAGTAATAATTTTGCCTACATACACTTTGTATCTTCACAATTCTGAAAACAGTAATTCTGAGATGATGTTTATTTTGCACAACTAGCGCAGTTACTGTCTTTGATGGATGAAAACTTGTATGGTTTGTGGTATTATTGTGAAAATGCTGTACCAATCAGTACTGGTATGAAGTATGTTGTATTTCATTAGCAGCTTTCAGTTCAAAGTACCAGATGACAGCAAATGGTACCAAATTACAACTAAAAACTCAAATCAACAGCTACAGACTGTTTAATACTTAAAAACTAATTTAAAATTGGTTTAAGATATTTTAATAATATCCTTATAAATTCTGCCAAAATTCTGATTTTTTTTAAATTGTGCAGCAATTTCACAATTTTGCTATACTGAAAAGATGTTCACCTGACTATTGTGTAAAACTATTATTTGCTGTGTTCACCTTTCTGCTATATAATGTTTTTACATTTCAGATGATAGTAATGTGAGGGAATTCAAGTTACTTTTAATGTATTCCCAAATTCCAGGGTTTTGAGTGTGATTTGAGTTTGAGGATTGAGTATGACCGAAGGGTTTAATTTCTCCACAGATTCATCTTCTGCCAGTGACAAATGACTGAGTGTAACAATCATTCATAAATACTGCCTTTCATTCTTGCCATACTGTTTTGGGGCACATCACAGTTTCTTTCTAGTCGGGAATCAGTTTTACAAGCCAGTGAAAATGGACCCTTTTGTAACCTCTTCAACAGGCTCCATTGCTCGTAATTCTGAGTCAAAGTGTTATTTTTGACGGCTAGAACACTGTATCTCTTGTATGTACAGTAACATATAGAACACTTCAGAGACCCTTAAATTCTAAAAGCCAATAAATTCTGAGTGTGTACAGGCTTATTCTATTGCTGCTGCATCAGCGAGCAGTTATTGTTCTTTCCACGGGAGGCTTGTTAAACATAGCTGAAAGCTGTGACATGATCCATTACTTTATCTCAGTTGCAATATGCTGGAAAAAATGTCATGAGTCCTCATTGGTGTTCGCTTCCACTACATCACATTAGAAATGAGTAGGTATTTACATGCTTCTAATGTATGTACATTTCATGCCAATAAATGTTCTATTTTAAATTTAGCTTATATTTAAGATGCAAAAGATTATTCCCTTTTAAGAGGAAAGGGCTGCTAATAAAGCAACTCTGAAAAAACCTCTTGACTTGAACCATTCTGTTCTGGTTAGCATGTCATTATTTTGGTCACCATTCTTCACATGGTTAAAGGTGTGTTAATGGCGATAGCACAAATACACGTGGTCACGGGTGGCACATTCATTAAAATGGCAGTCAGTGTAACACTTGCATCTTCATGAACAGTCTCACTGATAACTAATCACAGAAGACCACAGGTGCAGAATAATTCAGATTATATCATGTTCTGACAATTTACTGGTGACTGGATTTTACCACATTCAAAAGCTGTCTCTACTGGCACTGAGGCCATAATCTCTGCCCTTGCCGATATGGATGTTTTTCCTAGTTCAACACAAAAGTTACAGTTGACTTACATTTAACAATACAGTTATTTTTTTGTTGTTGCTGTTAGGGAAGCTTCAAAATAAAAAATTGGAAAGTCCACAGAATAAATACATCTAATGACAGGGAGCTTGTTCTAATATATGCTCTGTGAATTAAAGTGACTCCCATTTTTTTCATGTTTTGTAAGATACAGTTTGGCTCGCAAATTTCTCCTCTGTGCAATCTTAGGAAACTCAGAAGAGGTTTTCCAGTGACTGATGAACTCTGAACTCTGATGCCCTATGGCAAAAGAGTTTCAAACAGAAAAAGTGCTGAACTTAGCATGGAACAGAAAAAAACTCAGATCAGAGGAGTGCTAGGGCACAGCAGGGATACAGCTATGGATGCAGAGAGTTCTTTCAGGGGAGAAGGCTCAGTTACCTTCATTTTATTTTGTTCTCTGGACACAGGTGGGGAGGTTTCTCTGTACTGCTCCGCTGTCAAACAATCTTGCTGAACTTTCACTGCCACCATGGTTTCACAATATCAGTACCACCTGCCAGGACTGTGTGTCATAAAGGTGCATCCTGTACTGGAATTGCGTGGAGCTGAATTGCCCACAGAAGGACAGAGCAGAAGGAATGGTGTGGCATCATTTCCTTCAACTGAAGGAAAAAGCCAAACCTGTAAGCAACCACGCCACTAGTAAGAGAATGAAAGATGAACTTTAGCACAACATGAATTTAAACAAGCCTTAAATCCATTGTCAGGGCATTCCTAACACAACTGAATGAAAAGATGCCAAAATACATTTTTCCCAAATAGCTCAAATGTGAACAGCAGAATTGTCCAGAGATTTGATACAAAATCTGAGGCAGCCACATTGCCGAGCAACTCAGTGCACTTTGATTATAAAAATGTTGTTCCACAATTTTCTATTCTAATTGACACTTTGCAGCACTGTCAATCATTCTGTGTATCAGAAAGAACTGAAACCCAACATGGGCCAAATATTCTTCAGTCACACAAAGCAGCTTAACAATAAAAAGAACCATTTAAAAAAGAATAGGCAGAAGATATGTTCAGTTTGTAGTCAAATATCAGTTTGTGGCCACAAAAAAGTTGAGGAGGAGTCAGGATTCATCTTCTGTCCATCTAACTTGTCTGCTTTCACTCAGTGCTTAAGACTGTATCTGGTCCTAAGGACAACATTCACTTTCTGCTTTAAAAAGCTGTGTCAGAACCACTTTCAAGTTACACAGGAAAGTGCTGAAATATTTGTGGCTGGCTCATGTCAGGAAAAACATTCTCCTCTTCCTCCTTAGAGAACAATAGCCTGTTTCTTCAGTTTGGCACTTGAAGATGCACCAGGTAGGCAAGCAAATCATTCGAATGACATTAGATTAGCAGGTACCTGGAAGAGAATGTAGATTATTCAGCAGTATAATGCTCCTAAGTCTATTATGGCATTGGGAAATTGCAAGGTTACAAATAGTGTGGGCTTTTCATTTATTATCCTATGTGTAATCAGTCCAAATCAGGCCCAAAAGAGGGCTAACCTCATAACTGAAAGGAAAGATGAAGACTCAAATGATTTCTGTTCATGGACCAAATCCAGCCTAAGCATTTTAAGAAGTCTTCAGTACGCACAGGGGGGATGTTTGTGTGCGTAAAGAAGATTCACGAAGTGCATCCTGGTTTAGGTCCTGTGTGGACCAGCATCCTATCAGTATGATCTTTGGAAATCCTTTTAAGAATTAACCTTTTCCTCAAGAGAAGGAGGAGGCTGCTATATAAAGGACAAACGTAGTATTTCATAGGACACTCTCTTCAGTGGCACTTACAGACCCAGTCACTGGAGAAAGTGCTAGCATGTTTGTTTTCTTCATCCATGAGAAAGCCCCTTCTGAAGTAGAGATGGGGTTACCTCACTTGAACTGAGTGTAATGGTAATATGCTGTTAGGGTAACCAAATGTATAGCTAGACCTGCACAAATCCTGATTTGGTGGGAAATCTGTAGTTTTAAATAATTTTTATTACTCCTATTGAAAAGCTGAATTAATGTACGAAATGAGGGGTTATGTCTGTCCCCACAGGACTCTGTGTGCACACAAATAGAAGTATCTTTTCTAGTAAGCGTTTTCTGGAAAATATGAAAAAATGGGTAGAAATAAGTTTCACAAAAGCAGGACAACAACCTTACCTGAGGCTTGTTGCTTTTGCATGCATCATCCAAATGCTTATGCCATAATATTGCATGAAACCTTGAACCAGTCTGGAATTTGTAAACATTGCCTACAAAACGAAGAAAATTAAAGGCTCTAAATTTGCAGACAGACATGTAGTTTCAAGGGATTTTAATTTCTGTGCAGAAGCCAAAGTCCTGTTAAACTGTTAAATTTGCATCTCAAATTCTCAAACAGGAAGTTGCTCATATAACAGAGACCATGCGAAGCATGTTAACCCAACAATCCTTGGGTGAAGGGAGTACAAGAACATGTGGCCTGCAAAGCTAAGAGGAGGGTATAGGGATAGAGGACAAATTACAGCCACAGAAAAGACCACTTAGGTCAATCTAATTTTCACCTGGCTTTCTTCTCATTAACACTCTTGTGGTTACCGCCAAACTTTGTATGAATGCTTTTGATATTTGTGAACTTAGTTTTCTTCAGTGTCCTACTGCAAGTTTCCTTTATGCCTCATTATTTTGTAAATTGTTTCTTACAGTCAAGTAATTTGTGCATTTCAGTCAGCACTCAAGAGATGCACTTCACACAGTAGATGCAAAATGCATGTCCGGCACCGAAGTTGAAAACGTGAAAAGTGAAGGAAGCCTCAAAAATCTTTACACAACCAAACTGCAAAATAACTGCAGGGGCTTTCTGATCTTTTGAAGTTTCTGAAGTTTAATCAAGGCAAAATAGTTATGGTACTTCCAAGTTAATTACTGAAAAGTAATTAATAATTACTTAAAAGACTTTTTTTGGTAAATGGTTTGATGTATGAAGAATTTTAGTAATATTTTAATTGGCCTCAGTATAAGTTCAGATTTGATATTGACCAATTTTAACAAAGCTGTTCAGAATCTTGGAGATCAGGGTATGCAGGTACATGGGCAATTTCTGCAAAACTTGCAGTAACTGTCGAGATACAGTAATACCTCCATAGGCACCACAGAAGCACCACAGCACATTGTAGAAATATGTTCAATTTTCTTTATTGAAAATTCTGTATTGAAAATCTCCCTCTTCAGTCTTTTAAATGAGTGCCACTGCAAAATCTGTAATCTACATACTCATTAATAGAAATTAATCTACTTCCTTTCCCAGAAGTTTAATGCAAACAATGTCTATCCTGTGACATTTACCTTTGTCAGGGTTATTTAGCTGGAAAATATCAGGATGCTCAGGGTCATCAGGCAGGGCCACCATCCAGTCCACAATGGAGACTTTTTTACCAGGTGTAGATTTATACTGGAAGAGATGGACAAGTCACAGCTGAGACTGCACTAGGGATTAACTTTTGACTGTAAAAGTTGTGCAGACATAAGGCTTAGCCCAGAAAAGCAAGAACACTTCTAACACCCTTCTAGATCTGCTTATGAAGACGCCATTTTTAAAGCTTACATGTTTTCTTTCAGTGCCTCTTAAAGATTTTGCTCCAAAGTACAGAAGAGTTGATCCTGAAAGCATAACCCAGTATCTAGTCCATGAGGAGAGCTGAATCAGAAAGGAAAAGGAATTAGGAAAAACTCTGTATATCTCCAACATTTGAAAAATCTATTCACAAGCAAGTCCAAGTGCTACCAGAGTTAATTTCAGAAGCAAGGAATGGTGAGTTAGATATAGAGTGTCTTGTGGTGTAAATCAGCCCAGCTACCTAAATTTGGCTGGCTGGCTCTGAGTATAATCCATTTTATTTAGGTATCTCACAAAAACATCAGGACTGACTGCCTCACAGCAAAGTAGTGTGCTGCCTTCTACTGGACAGATCTTACATTTCTGCATGTGACCAGTAAAATATATTGAGATGACATCTCTGCAATTCTTCAGATCTTTTAGCACTGAACAGTAGGGCTGCACATAAAAAGTACAGAAAACAGTTTCTACAGAAAACAAAAAAATTACCAAATGTGTAGGAGTGGAATCATGTGAAACCTGTGAATTTAGGCTCGTGCTATGGGTGGATGCCATGCAGCCTTCCCATTTCACCATGATAATAAATTTCTGTCCTCGCAGAAATGCATGCTGTTTTTTAAAGTTGTTTTACTCTTGCTCCGCTGTTACAGTCTACAGACATTACTTCCAAATGCAGGGAGAAGCAAAACTGCTGTAGATTAAATGAGATACAAAGGTTACAACCTTGTTATAGCCCCGTTAAAACCTTGAACAGAAAATTATTTTACAATTGATAACAATCAATTGCAAAATCAATACAGTGCGGTACCAAGCTGCAGGTTTAATCTGTTCTTGGAAATCAAAAGAGTTACTACTGAATTAGAATCACAGGAAGAATCAGAATCACTTACAGTTGGTTTCTTGCCTTCTTTGAGCAATGTTTTTCTTCTTAATGGCCCTTCCATGGTAATGACGCCCATAGAACTACCAAGTGTGCAGCTGCAGGCCCCTGTTGGGCTGGAGAGACAGAACATTGCCATATGTATTTGAGAAGACAAATAAGGACAAGAAGCAAGCATTATAATTTGGTTCTAAATATATTTTTCCTGGATTGCCTTACATATATTGTATCAACTAACCCTTGACTCTATACTATGTATTTTCCAGACCTAGGTATCAAATAGCAACCAGGATCTTTGAAAAACAGCAAATCAACAGAAGGTTCTATTCTGGGGACTTAAACATGAAAAAATAAAACGAAACAGAATAAATATTGAGGCCCAAAGTCAAAAGGAGAACAGACAATTTTCCATTTTATTCTGGTAAATTACAGAAATTATCTGGATTTCTGGAAACCTATGGCTTAAAATTGTGGCAATAAGAAATCCTACAAATGTAATTTTACCTTAAAATAAACTTTAGCTATCAAAAAAGAAGGTAGGAAATTACCTTGACTAATTGGAAAAAAGTTGGGAAAGGTATATAACAATGCCAAATAATTTACTGTACAGTTGTAATGGGTTTTCTGTGAGGGGTTTTTGGTTGTGTCTTTGGTAACAGGGGAAGGGCTATGGAGATGGACCTTTAAGAAGCTACCTGAAAAGCTTCCCCTTTTCCTTTGTCAGACCCACCTCTGACCACAGCCAAGCCAATCAGGGCCCCTGCAATTAATGTATTTAAGGGGGGTGCAGGGCATGTGCTTTCTGTCTCTCTCTGGCACCAGCCCGGATCAGTGCAGCCCCAGGTGCAGGTGGTGCGGCCCCAGCCCTGTCCAGTGGGGCTGGGCCGGCCCGACCCCAGCTTAAGCTTAAGCCCCGCTGCAGCTCCAGCCCGAAAAGAGAACGAGCCGGGAACTCTTCAGAACCATCAGAAGAGACCTGCAGCGGAGAAAAGAGTGGGGCCTAAGAACAACTTTGAAGAGCACCAAGGTCAGTTAAAGGAAAGAAAAGAGAGGGGGGAGGAGGAGGACGCAGAGCCTAGGTTCCCCTTTTGCAACCTGTGGCGAGAGCCGGGTTGACTGCCTGCACCCCGGGGGGAGCGGGGCCGCATGAGCGGGGGCTCCCCCTGAAGAAGCCGTGACTGCAGGCAGTGTGTGCTGGAGCAGTTTGTGTGTGAGGGAACTGTGGCCGTGGGCAGACCCAGATTGGAGCTTTACGGACTTGGGCTGAAGCAGTTTTGAGCATCAGGGACACTGCAGCTGTGGGCAGACCCGTATTGGACTTTTGAGGACTTTTTCTCCTGTGGAAAGGGCGCCATGTGGAAGCAGAGAGAGGGTGAGCAGAGTCCTCCCTACCCCATGAAGGACTAGAATGACATGAAAATGACTTGGGCACAGGGAGGGGAGGTGAAGAAACCGGGAACAAAGCTGAGCCCTGGAAGAAGGGAGGGGTGGGGGGAAGGTGTTTTGACTTTAAGATCTGGTTGTGTCTCCCATTGTTCTACTCTGATGTTGGTAACAAATTAAAATAGTTTTATTTTTAATCCTTATGATGAGTCTGTCTTTTGACTGTGACCTTTTTAAGTGGTGAGAAGCTCTCCCAGTCCTTATACTTGACTAGCCCCTTTTTTGGGGCATCGTGGTGCTCAGTTACACACTGGACCTAAACCATGACAACAGTGATCAAAATATTTTCTCCTTTCCCAGGACAAACAGAGGTTCCCACATACAACAGTGAAAAAGTGCTACAACTGAAAGAACCCAAGTACAGGCTAAGTTAGAAATGTAAACAGCCATTAAGAACAGAGCAGCCCAAGACTGATTGGCAGGGGATGATCTGTTAGAATTATCTGCTGCTAATCCACTGCCAGGTGATCACAGCCCTGATAATCTTATAAGGGCCAATGATGTTTACCAGAGCCAACTAAATCCCATCTAATAATGAAATCCAGAAGGAAGTGTGTCTGATCTCCCATTCTGTTGTGAAAGGAACACTATTCCGACTGCAACCAAGTGCAGTGGTGTCATATGAGCACGTGCTGGTGAAAGTGATGCACCACACCACCACCAGTGCAAGAACAGCACTCCGAACTGGCAAGTGTGTCCCCAATCAAATGGAACTGCCTCATCTGTGCTAACATGGATTCTTGCCAATGTCAGTTTTCTGACAGAAGCAGTGCAAGATTTCAGAAAAAGGAAGAATGCACGCAAGCATTAGAATTATTTGATGGTGGATAAAGGTAAAAGGTATTTTAGGGAATAATTCTTTGTGGATTTATTAGGCTTTTCACATTTTTATCTTCTTTTATTTTGCAATTCTAGCTTGTATACATTTTTGAAACAAATTACCAGGGATGTGTTAAGAGTACTTTCCAGAAGCAGGTATAATACCTAAAATATTGTTCCAAAGTTTATTCCTTTAATTATACATAATGCATGCATTTTTATTCCCATTTAACTTCTAATTTGTGCTGCTATCAGGTGATGCTAGCTCAAGTAAAATGGCTGTACTTACATTTACACATTATAGCAACATTTCTGCAATGGCTGAAGCAAACTAACATACACAAAATAAAAACTGGTTGGACTTAAACTCCAGCTACACATCACAATTTGCAGAATACTGTTTTGGGGGCCTGTTTTCTTTACTGTTCAGATACACTTCTTCACTTTCCACCAAGTCCAGGTTAGGTATCCATACCTATATGGATACCATAAATTATTTTTATCCCTCTAGCTATATACAGTTTTCCACATCACCTCTCTTTTGGCTGTAAATGGATTACCTGTTCCTGAAAAGTCCATGTCTTAGTGACTGGCAACACTGGGCATGCCCGCTACATATGGCCTTGCAGATGTTCCTTCTCTTACTTGGGGTCCAAGGTAACACCTCTTTATGGTACAAAATCAATGCATCATACTATAGCTCTCTGACACAAACAGATGTTATGGGTAGCTGTCCTTCAAATCAGGGAATAAATGGTGAAAAGAGGTCAAGAAGGTATCCTTCTAACATCATTATTTGTCACAAAAGGCAAAGATGGCCTTCATGACAAACCTGCTTCTGTAATGTCATAAAATCCAAAGTAAACAATAGTTTTCTGCAACATGGAAGACAGATATAATTAGTTAAAGCAACAGCTAAACTGAATTTCATCTGAATGGGCCATACTCCTGCTTCAGTGCTAAGAGGAATTTTTACAAGCAGGAGGGGAAGACTCCCATGGTCACACAAGGGTACTTTTGGACACAAAATGCATTACGCTAGGAAAGGGTAGAGATCCAAATGAAAGTTTAGCATCATAGATTGAGCAAGGTAGACCCTGAACTGTACCTGTAGACACAGCTTCGACTCCTAGGAGAATTCCGGATCGGTACCCTCCAGTTAGGCCCCAGCGTGGCATATAAACGACCCCTGTTTGTGAATGCAAATATCTGATGAGGGAAGTTCTAGTCTGAGACTTCAACAGTTAGGGTTTGGTAAACATGACAGAGAGAGTTCCCAGTCTTTTCAGGCCCATGGGAAGAAAAACACAGTAATTTTACAGTGCTTTATTTCAGTACGTTTGTAATTATTTTCCTAACTAATCAATAATTTGATAAAAGTAACTATTGATTTAGGGCTTACCTATGCCAGGGATAATTTGTGAATTTCTTAGCTAAGACTGCAGAGTGCTCAGTGAGTGTACATGAAGACTAACTCACCTTTCAAGCCCTGACGGCAGCTCCTCACTAAATTCTGAGCTTTCACTGCTATCTAGAAAAAGAGTAGTACAGAAAAGGAGTAAGAAAACCACCTAAGGGAAAATACAAAGCCAATGTATGTGGATCATCAGAATAATCTTTATATGGTACCATGGTCATTGTTTACTCAAATCATGTTTCAAAGTTGAAGTCTTTAGAGTTCATGGCAAAATCTAACATCGGAAGAGGCTTACATAAGCCTTCTCATTTATAATATCTCACTGGTGAATGAAGTAATTGTTACTGCTGTGTTTAAATACCAGACATCTACATGTTACTTCAATTTTCATTATGCTGCTTTTCCCTCAAAAGCTGAGCACTTCAGGAACACAAAATCCAGTTACTTTGTAAGACAGTATTTCTACCACAACATTTTTAAGTCAACTGAAGTTATTAGACATGGCATCATTGTTTGTTTTCAACAAGCAAGCACACATGTAACAGAGGCTGTGCCAGCTGTATGCTGCTGCTAGTAGCCATAACAAATCACCATGATGTTATTCACAACGATAGTCCCTATCTCTCCTCTAAGCCCGTATCTGGTATGTCCCTCCTTCCCTGGCACAGCTATCCAGCTCACAGTTTTAATTTGCCCTGGACTGATCTTTTAATGCTTAGTGTAACACAGTAAGACGTGCCTGTATTTTTGCAAGTTCAAAGGTACCTCAGTGTCAAACTCTTCTTGGTCAAGTAACCTGCTACCCTTCACAGTCTATTTCCTATTCTAGAAATAGCCTGAGTCATTTAAAAGGTGGCTTTCTCTTGCTTAGAACATGGATTCTCAAGCACTTTTTAAAAATGATCATAATTATTTTATTAATTACAATACCATAATGTAATTGTCATCATCCTCTTTCATAAGTTCATTTTCTGTTTCTTTAGAAGTCTCAGAGAGCACAACTAAACTTTCTCCCATCATCTAAAATATATCATCAAAACTACAGGTTTTTTTGTGAAAAGGTAGCTTTAAAAATATATATCCAGTTTTCAGTAGCACCTTTTTTTTTCCTGGTGAAAGCTAACAAATGCTCTGTGTCACATACAGAGCGTATCCAAAGACAACCTTAATTCATGCCACTTTTACCAAAACCATAAGTAGGTAACTGAGGAAAGCCGAGATAAAGCTGACCAGGTAGCCGAGCAGCAGTTCTGGTCTACTTTCTGCCACGAAAGGGACCAGTCTCTGCGTAGGAGCTAATGACTTTCCCAGTTCCCTACTTCTGAGGATCTGTGAGCTCCCAGAGCACCGAACGGAGGAGCAGGAAGGTGAGTTCCCCACACAGGCTCTACCTATGGACAGGCCATTGGCGAAGGGCGAGCTCCGTGCGCCGCGTGCCGGGCTGTGCGACTCCAGGACGCTGTCATCCAGGAGGTGGCGCGGCCTCTCCGTCGGGAAGGTGGCACTTTTGCTCTCCACAACGCTGAGCTGGCACATCATGCTGGGAAATGTGAGAGAGAAAACACAGAACCCCTCTGTCATCTGACAGCAACCCTGGGCTCCTGGCGTTTCCACTCAGGTTTGCCTTATCAACAGGTCGTTAAGCAGCAGGCAATCGAGCAGCACTGCTCACATTGTCCCTCTTCTGTACACGTGCTCCTTGACTAGCAAAGCAAGTTTCAGATTTTAGTGGGTTTTGTAAGTAACAATTATTAAATTTCTACAGATGGCAAGTTTTAATTTTTTTTTTACTCCTCTCTGTACAAAACCTGAACACCCTGGGTGGAGACAAAGGTAGAAAACCAGGAAACGCAGACCCCAGCCACTGTGTTCTTCACCAGGCTGAACCAATACCAGCACTCCATGACCTTGGACAAGTCATGTGAACTTCTTTTTCCCTAACCCGTTAATTGTGACATTTGGTGGATGCTGAAACCTTAACTGGGGAGCAGCTGCTCTCACTTAGCTGGGTAAATGGTAGAGAAAAATATTCCTAATTTATATTACCCAAGTAAAACAGCTCACAACAAACAAAAGGTCACAACTTTCCTGAACGATAAGGTGTGACAAACAGCCAGTGAGCTTCCTTAGATGTATCAGCAAGATGTTCGAAAAACAAAAGACAGAAAACAAATCAGTTCTGCGCACCAGGAATCCACAGCCCAAAGTGGAAACACAACTTTTTGCCTACTCTGGCACTAGCACGTAACAGAGTCAGCAAAAATATAAAAGCGCCAAGAGAAAACCTAGAGAATACACAGTAAAGCCTGAAGCAGTCTTCCAATACACAAAATGGAAGGGACTTCAAATACCGGATGGTTCTGCTGCTATCTTAGACCCTTGTGACGCAGGAAACTGCTGGGGGTACCCACTTGTTTCCCAGGCTGTGGCTCTTCCTGTGCCTCGGTACAGGAGGTGTAGGTAGACTTGCTGCTACTGAGGCATCCGGACATGTGGGGCTCCTGCTGACTTTCATAATTGCTGAAACCTCAGACGGACCTAAAAGACAGATGTAAAACCCAGAAATTTCATGGGCTGGTGTGCTGATTAGAATGAAGTGCTACAGATCACCAAAAGGCACCATTTCTGAAGAACTGTTTCTTGTGCATTAGGGTTACTCCATCCATTACTGTTATTAATTCATCTCTGTATTCTTAAACTGTCTGGAAGTAATTTTTAAAACAGCTTTGCACATACTTTTAACAATGAACTCCTACAAAAAGTCTTGGCACCCTTACAACATCTGGATGTGCCAAAGTGTAATATGCAGAGCCATAAAGTCAGTTTGTA